TCAATTAAAAAAAATAAAGCCCAAGGTTGAAGACGCTGTCACTTAGGCCCATTTAGTATTGAGTCCATTCTGATTTTGTATTGTTTATTCTATAACATGGTGTCTAGGGCTACGTGTCTCATTACAGCTGTATTGCTTCATCTTTTCTGGGTTATAAATGCCGCACTGTATTCATCGTTTTCTTCATGGCAATATATTATAATTTCTCTCTCTTAAGGTTTCAGTATCTCTTTAGTGAAGTCTTCGAGTGAGTAAGAATTAGGGAACGAATCAGTTCTCTGATATTTCGGGTGAGAGACCGCCGATGCATTATAAAGCGAAAAGATCAAAGACTTAAAATAATTGAGTTCGCAAGAAGGGAAAACACGTGTTTGTCCGCGGGAGGGAAAGAGAATGACATAGGTCTCACACACAAGTTCTAGGAAACTGATCATCATCGTACTAACTTGAGTTTAAAACCATTTTTAAGATTTTTTTTTTTTAAGGGGAATGAGAGTCGGGAGGCGCTGGATGTTTCTGAGATGAAGTGTTCCTTTTGACCAATTAGCTTGACAAGCTCAAAGAATATCAGGGGGTTTCGGAGCTTGATTCTTGTGTCAACCTTCATCCCATAGCTGGAGGGCTCGTTGATTTCCACCATTGTTTGTCTCTTACGGCTGTACAGTCCAATATGTTAGAGAGTGGCCAAACAGCAACTAAACTCCAGAGAAGCGCGTTGTGATGCTAATCCGCGGTCTGGAAGCAAACGATATGTAGGGGATGGACTGAGCATTTATTCGCCTTGTTTGTTTATCCCGAGCAAGGGGCAGCGAGGTGGCGTCGCATGTTGGGGTGCTCATGAGAATAGAGCAGCACTGGCCTGTCACTCGGCCTCACCGTTTAAACCCAAAACTTAAAATAGGTAATTTTTTAGGCCTGGCCTTTGAGATAACGAACTTAAAGAGGCCTGCAGTTTTTTTGCCCTTTTAATTAAAAATACAATTTTTAATTTTCCCCCCACATATTCTATCAAAATAATAAAAATGAAACAATAAAATTACTAATAAAAAGTATAAATATAAATAAAATTAAATCACAAACATAAACATCATCATATCTAAACATCTAAAACATTTATCATAGTACAATAGAGTCTATTGAATAAATAAATTAAATAGAAGACACACATAAACAATTAAATAAGTACCAAGTTCAGTAAATAATTACAACGCAAATGATATCTGGTTTAATTATAAATAATTAACAAAAAAGTTTAACTAACAAACATAATATACATAAAGAATAATCATTCATCTTACTGGTAAAATGTTTTATAAGAACGATGAGCTCAAACTCATCTGTTGGGCCCAACAGACGAGTATGAGTGCTTCATACTTGTCTGTTGTAGCAAAACAGATGAATATTAGGACTGTTTTTTCCTTAATTTTCAAAACAAACAAAAATGAGTGGAAAAAATAGACTTTTTTTTTTTTGGAGTAGGGCTGAAAAGTAGTCTACAAGTATTTAAGGTTTTATCTACTTGCTCGGAAGGTATTATATTGAATGAAACTCATCTTAGTGGATATCTGATTCAACTGAGGTTTTTATCTAGCTCAAATATCATCCCAGTATATTCATTCATCTGGGGATTAATTGGTTCAGTGGGTATTTGATCCTGGTTCGGCAATGGAATCTCTGTACGGTTCGCAAAAATTGGCTGATATGAGGACAACGGGTAATGTTATGGGAGCTTCGATGCCATTGTTTAACGGTTTTGCGTCTGCCTTGGGTGGTGTTTGCGCTAAAATTGTTTTGCGTCTTGTACGCTGGGTGCATGCAAGAATTTCTCTAGTTTCATTAACAAAAGGGGGGAAAAAATAAGGGCACAGATAGGACCAACGCACACTGCTTGGACTGAAATGCACACGCCGACGCTGAGTTGCTATTTATGGAGGGAAAATTACATAGGGTTCCACATAATAAGAATTCTAATTCTGAAAAAATCCCATGAAATCTGTAAAGGGTTTGATGTATTTTTATCAAAATTCTCTTAATTAAAATCTTCTGATGGCCAATTGCAAAACTTCAGTTGTGAATTCTACTATGATAGTTGTCAATAGAAAATTATGAACTTTAGCATAAAAAAATCGACAGCTAATCTTATAAAACTTACTAATGATAAATTGCTGATTTCTTATGCTAAAGTTATTAATTTCCTACATTCAAATTTTTAATCTTCCATTCACAACTGTCCCACTAGAATTGATAACTTTAATATAAAAAATTAACAACTAATCATATGCATCTTCCTCTCTAATATGAGAACTCAAAAAATAATTAATGAGAGTAAAACAATCTTGCAATTTTTTTTTAAATAAAAAGAGGCAAAGTAAAAATGACAATTGTTCCTCATGAAAAGAGACTGAGAGTCTTATCCTAAAATATAAAATGTAATTTATGGTATGAATTACACAATAAACTAAATTTTATAGGGATAAGGTCTATTTTTGTTTTAGAAGTTTTTACTTGAGAGTTGTGGGCATATAGAAATTTTTTAGGAGTAACGTTGCCTTGAAAGTTGGCAAAACGTAATAATATCACCCTGGCCGTTACCTAGCATTAAATGTTAATGACACGTGGCACTCTCACATGGCACTCAATATGCCACCTCATTGCCACATGATTCCTCTGCCTCTCCACCTCACCATCACACTTCATCATCTTTACCTTCTTTCTGCCTCCCTCACTTGTTCATGAACGTTGTGACCCCCGTTTCTTCTTGGATCTGCTAAATCGCATCTAATTCCTCATGGCCGTCGTCGGCCAAACTTGGCATTTTGATTGGGCTTTGTTCGTCGACATTATCATCAGCAAGAGTCTGCATTTTATTGAGCTGGGCCGTGATTGTACGTTCTGTATCACCAAAACTCGTCAAGAATAAAGTGTTAGGGGGAATAATTATATGAAGAGCACAAGAAGAAGAAATTAAAAAAAAAAAATACACACAATGTTTTTAAGGTGTGAATAGCACTTTCTTTGAATTAATTTGCCCCATCTATTCTTATCTTATAGGGTGCAAGTTGGATTGACTGACAAATTTTCTTCCGGATACAATAAAATCTTTGAATACGAACTGCACTTTCAGGATTTAAGCAAAGATAACAATAGCTTTCACAAAGTGATGATTTGACTTTATCTCTGCGTGTACTTAAATAGAAAGGTAATCTTTGTGTTTGTGTTGTGTTATATCCACATAAAGTGATAGTGAGAGGTTTATATTAAAAATATTCCAACATAAAGTAGAAAACGATCTCGAACAAGGACCAGTGTCCAAACAGACGAATCCAACTACACTCGATAGGAATATGAGAATCTCCATACTTTTTAATTAAACTTCATGGAAGAAGATGGGAAAGCTCTGGGAAAGGAAAGTGCCTGGATATGGCTATGACGTTGCTCTCTGGGGGGTACCTAGCATAAAGTATGTACCAACTTTGACTAATCTGACTTCAGCATTAGAATTAATCAGAATGAAGAGTAAAAAATAGATAGATAAATAAATAAATAAATAATTGGCTCCTAAATTTGGTGATGTGATAATTTATAATTTCCCTAAATTATAAGGAGCAGAAGACACGTCTTGCCTAATGAAACGAAAGGACTTTGATATAGGTTGCGCAAGGCATTTTTCCCAAGTCTCCTATGGGTCAACCAGAACCTCATTGTAAAGTATGCTAATTAATCATCTGATACGTGATTTTAGTTTCATACGTTAGACATTGGATTCCCTCATTCAGAATCAATTCATGTTCACATTGTCACGTGGTGACACTCAGATAAAGACAATAATCTTAACTTTAGCAAAATGAAGATGGCTTCAACAAAAGATGCCCAGAATGCTAAACACAGCTTTTGAGATGAGAGGAATTTAAAGTATGATTCCCCAACTTGCATCATAATTAGGTGGACGTAATCTTGGGAACCTCCTCTGCCATTACAGTACTAGTTCCTTAATTTCAGCAGGAACATTCTCTACTTTCTCAAGTTGTCTTCCACAGCAGAGCTTGCTGCATAACCTAGGATGTCAAAATATTCCCCTCCGTGATCTCAAGATGCCATTCCTTATTTTGATCTATGCAACTTTGCTCACTAAGAACAACAATAGACAACAAGAAGTAACAGAAACTGTCAGCTGCCAAATTGGACAATAAAACGAGCAAAATATTCAGCAAGATGATTTTGGCGAAAGTTGTTTTAAGCTATTGTTTGGCAACTTTTGCTAAACCCCTATTTTGTGGATTCTTTACAGTGATGCTTTGTTATGTTTGGCTAAGTATATAAACATTTTTTGCCTTCTTGAGGGCATTAAATTATTGTGTTAGAGCACTAGTGTGTTGTTCCGATATAAACATTTGTAAAATATGGCTTTTTATGTAGACGCTGATCAATCAATTAAAAATAAGAATAGCCGCCTTTGGATTCTCCCCTTCCAATTAACACCTAACAGCTTCTTCATCTTTCAGCTAACAATCACTGTAGATTCTGACCTGGATATTCGGTAGCACAATGCACCAGATTACAACATCTGAAAAAGTACCAGTTCTAGTAATTATTTACTGGTCTTCTACCCATAAGTGTTCGCATCATAACGAACATGGATTCACTCATTGGTCATACTCCTATAAATTACTCCCTCCGTTCCTTATTATAAGAGACAAATAACCGAAGTACGTTGATCAAAAAAACAGTTAAAATTAGTTAAGAACAATTAATGTGTAAAAAGTATAATTTTTTTCCAAAATACCCTCATTAATAAGGAGAGAGAGCATGGGAGAGAACAATTAAATTATTAAAAGAAAGAGAAGTGGGAGGGAGAGAGAGTGTGAGTTGGAGATAATAAATATGGGTAAAATAGTAAATCAACACAAAAAAGTAGAGACAACTTGTAAGTGTCTCTTATATATAGGAACATGCCATAAGCATCAAATGTCTCTTATAATAAAGAACGGAGGGAGTAATAATTACTATTTTTAGGAACAAAATCATTTTATTCATCATCGGGACCCATCAACTGCGGCAGACGTAGTCTGGATTCAGTTGACCATGGATTATGGAATCTCAGACGTTGAAGCGCTCTTGTCAAGTTCCTCTCCGGGCTTAACAAATTCGAGTACTCTGTGGCTGACAAAGACACATAATTTAATGTCTTCAAACTGATTTGTCTTGCAAGGATCGATGACAGCGTGTTCCTCAAAACCCACCATTCCAAATTCCTGTAAGGTTCAGTGCAAGTCGCCTTCACAAGCTTGAGACTTGCTCTGCGCTGAGAAGACGAATCTAAATTCACAGGCCGGCGTCTGAGAGTGGAGAGAGAAGAAGAAGAAGAAGAATGGATGGTAAGGGGAAGGGAACACAGAACCTGCGGCGCCTCCTCAAGTAAGCTGTCCCCAAGAACGATGATGTCCTCTGATTCGCCTCCGCCACGACGGCCCTGTTCCTGCCGGGAATCAGAACAGGGGAGACTACTCATAGCCATGTAACATAGAACTGCCACAACCACACCAGCCATGAAGTTCTTTTTTATGATACCGAGTACCAGACATATTAGAAGGAAATTGGAGGTATCAAGCTTGAGTCCTGAATGTGCTTGTGTTGATAAGCTCAAGGACATCAAAGCAAATGCCTCAAAGTAAATCAGTCTCAATGTACTCCGGTATCCCTTTTCCTCTGTTTCCCCCTGTCTACTTCGGTCTCCATAATAACAGTACAGAGAGGTCAGCGCCACAACGAAAAACCCCACCTTTGTTTTGGCTGTTCTCAAAGAACCCGCCAAAAAATTCATTGGGAATCTCACAATGCAGGACACGACGATCCTCAGCAAATTCCACTGCTCAAACAGTTCTTGGAGCGGAGGCCGCAGAGCGATGCAGCAAAATCCCACCATACTTGACCCGAGTCTCCGTAAACTAGTAGATACGTTTGGGTTTATTACTATATTTGTAGAACGGGTGGGCATGGCGAAGTCTTCAAGTGAGTAAGAATAATAAGGGAACAAATCAGTACCCTGAGATTTCGGGAGAGAGACGACTGATGCATCATAATGCGAAAAGATTAAGACTTTAATAATTGAGATAACAAGCATGTGAAAACGCGTTTTTTGGGTGGGGGAAAAAAATGACGTCATTGGTCACATTCACACAAGTTCTAGGAAGCTGATCATTATCGTATTAACTTGGGTTTAAAACCGCTTTTAAGATTCAAGGGGAATCAGAGTGGGGAAGTTTGGATGTTTCTGAGATGAAGCGTTCCTTTTGACCAATTAGCTTGCCGAGCTCAAGGAATGGCATTTCATTTTAGATCAAATTCTAGTCAAGCGACAAATAATGTTTAGCTTTGCATCAGCCCGCGGTCAAAGTTTGAAATTAGCATACTACGCTAGTTTAATTGTGACCTCTTCAAAAAATCATTTTAATATAGTAACTTGCATTATCTTATGTCTATCATTATTGGATGGTAATCTATTTTCATCTGTATAAATAAAATGCGACGTCTACTTGATTCAAACTCCTTTAATTTGGTGAAAAACTCTTGTTCCCTTAATTTATGCGATGTATACAAGGAGAGAAAGTATTATAAAAGGGTGCAACTTCTGAATTTTTTTTTCTTGGAACGATAACTTAAGAGCCGGTGGACATAATGAATTTGAGGTGGATGAGAATAAGAGATCCGATTAATATTGATTCTGATGAGATTTTGGAAGCCATTGCAATCTGCAGATGAATATTGCAAGAAGTCAGAGATGGGTCAAAAAAAAAAGTGGAAAAGATCTAGACTTTCATTAAATTTTGCCCGCCTAGAGGAAGAAACTAGGACATTATATTGGTAACACAAGTTCTAACGTTCTTCTAGGAACATGATTCTGATGTTGAATGGTTTTAAAACATTATGATTAACAACTTCTGCCACCCTCATGATGAGGCGGACTTCTATTATTTAAAATTTATAGTATGGGATTTATACTTGTTGGCGTAACATACCATTATTATACATACCATTGTTATATAATTATGACTATTCTAATGAGATTCCGGAGGCCATCCTGATGATGAACTTCAGGTGGATATATAGATCAAATTAATCTTCTGAGATTCCAGGGTGATCCTAGCTGCGGGTGATGAATTGATGATGGAAGAATGAGCTAAGATTGGAAAGACCAGACCAATAAATGTAAGCATGGGACTGTAAAGAACGCAAATAAAACACTCACTTTTCCAGGAAATTACTTCGCGCACTTACCTTGGTGACACAAGCTCTGGTCTTCTACTTCGAGGAACCTGATTGTTATGTTGACTTTGGAGGATGACATTTCAACGACTTGTAGGAACCTGGTGGCGGTGCTGCCTTTGGTTTCTTTTCTTTTTTTTGGGGAAAAAAAACCCAAAAAAAAACGTTTTAAAAAGAAAATAGGGCTGATATGTAAATTTGCTTGGGAAGTTTTCACTTAGAAGCTATAAGTATTCAGAATTTTTTTCTTTTTTGGTTTTAATATTATTCCAAAAATTTAAAATTATAACAATATTGTTCCCCACCATATTAAAATATTGACAGTCTATGTTACTATTTTAACAATTAGCGTTAGTTTTTAATGGTAATATTATGATTTTAAACTTTTGGAATGATATTAAAACTTAAAAAAAAAACTTTTAGGTATCCAACACTTTTTAGTGAAAACTTCCGAAATAAGTTTGCAGTGTGACCTAGGAAAATACTTCTAGCACTTCTATAATTTGCAAAGTATTTTTTACACAAATAAAATTAGGCCACTTTGGAATGGGCTTGTATTATTAGTTTTATAGAATATTAAGTGGTTTTTTGTTTTAAATGACATTTACTAACTCATTATTACTATTTATGTATGAGAATAAAGAGGGAAATAACCGTTTCGGCCCTAGGTTAGTTATGTGATAATATATAACTAGAATTAAGAATTTGAAAATTGTGAAAATTAGAGAGGATGTGCCAAATGTGAAAATCAGATGGTATTATTGGTCAACAACAATTTGTGACTCATAATCAATAGGATTGAATTTAGTGGAAGGGGCTAATCTTTCATAATATGGTGAACTAATATTTGAATTCATACTAGAAGAGCTACCAATATTTAGGGGGTGTTTGGATAACCTCATAATCACTTTTCAGAAACACTTTTCTGCAAATCGAGGTAAACTCCTTCACATATTTATTTCGTATACCGTAAAAGCATTTCTGAAACCATAGTTTTGTTCTTACCCAAACATCCCTTTAATACATGATAATATCTCGAATAGAATTACTTTCAATAGAAAAATATACTTTGCCTAGCACCAAAAAAAAATAATTTTGCGCCTCATAGCGAGCCATTGGACTTTGTGCCCCATGCACCGAACCCAGATGCGTGCATATCAGCATATGGTTGGGCCTAAGACACAAAGGGGCCATTTTACTGTTTCAGGCCTTAGCTTTGTTTGTTTACCAAATGGGGGGAAAAGATGCCCAAATAGGACCAACACGCACCGCATGGACTCAAAAGCACAAGCCGACGTCGGCGTGCTATTTGTGGAGGGAAAATTACATATAAGGATTCTGATTCTCAAAAAATCCCATGGAATATACAAAGGGTTGTACTTTTATCAAAATTCTCTTAATTAAAATCCTCTGATGGCCAATTGGCCATGTTAGGATTTGAGACCACTAGATTCATTTAATAAGGACACGCGAAATATTTTATATATATACATATATATTAGTGCTGTCATTTGCAAAACTTTAGTTGTCAATTCTAATATGATAGTTGTCAATAGAAAATTTTAAACTTTAGTATAAAAAACATCCACAGCTAATCTTATGAAACTTACTAATGATAAATTACTGATTTCTTATGCTAAAGTTATTAATTTCCTGCATTCAAGTTGTTAATCTTCCATTCACAACTATCCCACTAGAATTGATAACTTTAGTATAAGAAATTTACAACTAATCTTATTCATCTTCCTCTCCAATATGACAACTAAAATAAATAATTAATGAGAGCAAAATAGGAAATTAATCTAGAAAAGTTGAGACTTCTTGTAATTTTTTTCAATAAAAAGAGACAAAGTAGAGATGATAATTGTTTCTCACATCTTGTCCTAAATATAAAGTGTAATTTACAGTATAAATTACTCTATAAACCAAATTTTATATTTAAAATTGAAGACAATAATTTTTTTTTTGGTACAAAAGAAACTTAGTTCACGAAAGGCTACCCTATGCTGGAAGTAGATTCCAAACAATCATTCTCCATGAGATATCTCAGACTATTCGGACAAGTGTCAAAATAAGAGGAAACCGAGATTCCTTATTTTGCTAGTTTGTCTGCAACTCCATTAGCGTTCCTAGCAATATGGCAAAGCTTAACTTCCCAGTCAAACTTCAGTATCTCGATAATCTGCATCATCAGGAGACTACTATACCGACTAGAGTTCCCCTCATTAAGTGAATCAATCAGATTTCTTGCGTCAGATTCCAGGATGATATGTTTAAAGCCAAAATCCCAAGCCAATTTCAGACCCTAATAAATAGCCCAAGTCTCGGCTTGCATGTCCCAAGTTGAAAAGAGAAACCCACTATCCAATTCCCCAGGTGGTCTCTAATACTTCCTCCACATCCAGCTTTTTGTGAATTTCTTGACACCGCACCATCAACATTAACCTTTACCCAGCCTTCAGGAGGTTTTGTCCAGAAGTTTGTACTATCCAGATTTTGCATCCTTCCACCTCCTTTCACATTTGACTTAGCAGTAATAAAATTCTTCCAACTATAGCTAATCATTGAAACTGGATTAATAGGCCTTTCAGCGGCCTTGTTAAAAGTTGCTGCATTCCTCCAATTCCACAGCTTCCAAACTATAAATCCCCATATCAAATCCCAATCTTCATTTCCATCAGCACTCTTATTATCTTTGAGATTAATAGAAATCCAATCTCTTAAGGAGACTGAATAAAATCTGTTCACATGCTTATCATCCACAAAAGTATTCCATATAGATTTTGCATAGTCATAGTCTCTAAGAACATGTAAAATGTTTTCCACTTCATTAAGACAATAAGAACACATGGGGGAGCATTGAGACCATTTACTTCTCCATAAATTCATGGGAAGTCTACCATGATAAATCTTCCAGATGAAGAAACAAATTCTTTCAGCACCTCTCCATTTCCAAATAAGTTTATAAATTGGACTATATAGAGATTTTGGATTCTCCTCAATCATATAATAGGCACTTTTAAGAGTAAACATACCAGAGTTTGAGGCTTTCCACACTATGCAATCCTCTCCAGCAGCATCCAAAGGAGGCATCACTCCAATAAGTCTAGATAAAACCTCAGGCTGAACTATGTTTTCCAGCTTGTTAAAGTTCCAAGTGCCAAACTCTACCCAATCTGTCACCATATTGTTCTCCTCTTCAACAAATAAAGGTCTTAGACAGAAATCTTTAATTTTTTTTGTCATGAAACAGCTAATAATCATTGAAAAAATTAATTGACTTTCTGTTTCTCAATTGCCATTTAGAGCCTTTATCAATCACATCTTTCTGCTTGCAGATAAACTTCCAAAGCCTTAAGTCTCCTAGACCAGCTTCAAAAAGATTTTCTTCATTATGCAACATATATTTTTAATTCAACACATCGGCCCAAAGACCCTTCTCTCCTATCATTAATCTCCAGGCTAATTTTGCACCACAAGCTGATTTTACTGAGGGTAATTTTTTGAACCCGAGGCCTCCGTAGGATTTAGGCAAAGTGACATTTTGCCATCCTATAGGATGATATGTGTGCTTATCTTGATTATGTCCCCATATGAAGTCTCTTTGTAATCATTCCACTTCCTCACAGATCTTCATTGGAATTTGAGACACTCACATTGGATACATTAGGATTGAACTCAAGACAGACTTAGCCAAAGTAATACGGCCTGCAGTAGACAGACTCTCCATTTTCCAGTTAGCTAATTTGGTTCTGACCTGATCAACTATGTACTGAAATTTTTCAGTATTCCTTCTATTCTTTGATAGAGGAAAGCCAAGATACTTCCCTATATCTGCAGAAACTTTCATTTGTGTCTTCTCTTTGATTTTCCTCCTAATTTCCGCATCAACCTTAGGAGAGAAATATAGGGAGGATTTGCTTCTATTAACCCTCTCTCCCGAAGCCTGAGAGAATTGATCCAGAACTTCCATCATGCAAGTAACTTGTTTCTCAGAGGAAACTCCAAAGAGCAACAAATCATCAGCAAACATTAGATGAGAAATAGAAAGACCATTCTTTGAGATTGAAATAGCTTTCCAGCGACCAGCAACAACAGCATCATAGATGAGATGGGATAATCTATCCATGCACAAAACAAAGAGAAGGGGAGATATTGGATCCCCTTGTCTAAGACCTCTTTTAGGAGTGAAAAACTCAGTTGTTGAACCATTCCACAATACATTATAAGTTACTGAAGTTACACAAGCCATTACAAGACCCACAAACTTATCTTCAAAGCCAGCATCATAGAGAACAGTATGGATAAAACTCCAATTGAGCTTGTCATAGGCTTTTTCAAGATCGATTTTCATCGCTACGAGCCCTCTTTTCCCTTTGGCCTTACTCATCATATGCATGATCTCTTGGCCAATCACAATATTATCTTGTATATGCCTTCCTTTAATGAAACTGGATTGGAAAGGGGAAACTAAATCATTCATTACAACTTTAAGTCTCTGGGTAATGACTTTGGTTAAACACTTGTAGTGAACAGTACAAAGGGAAATGGGTCGAATTTGTTCAACTAGTTATGGATTCTCTCTTTTTGGTATAAGAGAAATTAGGGTCTTATTAGAATTATCCACTGTCAAGGATCCTTCAAAGATACCTTTGACAAAACTGCAAACAGACGGACCCACCACCTTCCAATTATGTTGAAAGAAGATCGGGGAGAAGCCATCCAATCTCGGGGCTTTGTAAGGGCCCATAGCGAATAAAACAGATTTAATTTCCTCCTCAGTAGGTAGAAAGCTCATAGAAGCCAGCAAAGTTCCATCAACTCTAGGAAAATTAGCTGTAGTTTTTAAAACATTGCAACTCGTCTCTTCCGATGAGAGCAGCCTTTTAAAATAATTGACCACTAACTCTTTCAATTGCACTTCATCATCTAGTCAAGTACCTTGTTCGTCCTTTAAGGAGAGAATTTTATTCCATTTCCGTCTCCTATGAGTTTTAAGATGGTAATATCGAGTATTACGATCCCCTTTTGTTATCCACTCAGATCTGGATTTCTGAAACCATTTAATCTCCTCTAAATTAAGAACCTCCTCTAATTCTGATTGCAACTTGATTTCCAAATCAGAAAGGAAAGAAGAGTATAGGTAAGCCTCAGCCTTCTGAATCCCTGCCAAACGAGCAAGAATATTCTTCTTCTTTTTTTCTATAAAACCAAAGACCTCCCTATTCCAAATAAGAATGGAATTTTTAAAATTAGACAGGCTTTTATTAATATCCTCATCTAGCATCCAGGATTTTTCCATAAAACTTTGGAAGTTCTCATGTTCAATCCATATAGCTTTAAAACGGAAAGGTTTGGTACCTCTAAATCGTAGGTTCTCAGCATCCAAACACAACATCAAAGGATTATGATCAAAAAATTTTGTACAAGAGCACACCTTTATTAAGTAGTTGTGAAAAGTAGACATAAATAGAGCATTACCCAGAGCTCGGTCTAGTCTCCGATACATTCGAGAGCATCCCTTCAACTTTGGTCCTTTCCAGGTGAATTTAGGGTCGTTGAAACCCAAATCTGTCAAACCACAATCCTTTAATTGGTCATTGAACCATCGGATTCTTTTACTATTCACCCGACCTCCACCCACACGTTCTGAAGCTTCAGCAATATCATTAAAGTCTCTAATCACACCCCACGGTTCAGCAGTACTCTGGGCCAAAAATTTTAGATCCTCCCAAAGTGTCTGACGGAGATTCGAGTGTGGTATTGCATAAATAGCAGTCAGCAGGCATGCTGGTTTCCCTAAAAATTCGCATCTTAAGTGCAGCAGTTGTTTGTTGCTGCTAAGAATTGAAATTCGGACTAAATCACTCTTCCAGGCCACAGCCAAACCTCTTGAATGTCCGGTGCTTGGAATAGAGAAAAGACTATCGAAACCCAAGGAATAGATGCAACGCAACTTTGAATCACTCTCACATTTTGTTTCAGAAAGTATCAGGACTGTAAGCGTTAAATTGCCAAAAATAGCCCTTAAATTTTTGTTGAGGCCTTGACCACATGCCCCTCTAATATTCCAATATCGTATTTGATCCATAAACATAAAATGGGTTTTAAAAGAAGAAAACGTCCAGGTAAGCACAGCCCACATCAAATTAAAATTGCGTTTCGGGCACCACAGAGGCTTCACTTTGGGCTCTCTCTACCTCATCACTCACTGGGCTATGTATACTCGGTCCACTATGCTCAGGCCTATTCCCGCCCTCCCTCTCTAAGCTATCTCCTGGATCATGAGGAAGGGGATCAAAATTATTGATATAATCCATCTGCTCTTCCCCATTATTTCCGTGTTCGATATTATCATCCCCATCTGCGTCCAGTTTTCTCTTGGCAGGATTCTCGTCGTCCGTGTCATCCAGCGTCAACATTAGTATCTCATTTGTTCTCTTGTGATTCACAAACATCTCATGAGAACTCTTTTCTCTCTTCCCCTGCACTGCTCATCGTACTGCTCTTTCAGGAATTCTCGTTGGGACCACCTCAGTGGGCAATCCATTTTGGTTGGGGTGTTTCCTGCTCTGCACAACCTTTTTCCCCCGCATGTATCGTACATTGGTAGTGGCAGTATTAGCAAATGGTGCGTTCCCCATATCCGACGTTGCCGGTATAGCATTATCTTCTATTTCTTTGGTTAATTCAAAATTATTATTTTCCACGTCAGCCAACACCTCGAACCTCATCCCTGAGTTCGGTTGTCAGAGACTCTCCCCTGCTTTCTCCTTTCCCTTTCTCTATTGGCGGGGCTTCTGCACCACCCTCCATACTTCTTGGTCACTGCCCCTTTTTTCATTAATATCCATCCCTGATTTCTGTGCACCCAAGTCACCATCATTCTGGCTCCCTCTATATTGCTCTGTACTCTGCTTTCTTGCACTACAAGTCTCACTACGATGCCCGTAAACCCCACAGTGCAGACATAGTGAATGTAGGCCTTCATATTCCAAGTAATAGTTCCCACCGTCTAAAGAAAACCAAGACATCAATTGTTTACCCAAATCAATCATAACACAAATCTGAGCATAGTGCCCTCTAAGCTGAGAGGACGTGTTAAAATCAACTTTTATCGTCTCTCCAATCCTATTCCCAATGCAAGTGAGAGCCTCCTCATCATAATACTCTAAGGATACCCTTGGTAGCCGTACCCAAAATACCACTTTATCTATTTTAGCTCTTGCCGGGTTAAACTTGGGTTCCCACGGTTTCACCGTTAAATAGTGATCATATATCATCCATGGGCCTCCTGTCAATGCATTGAAATAATCCTCCCTGTTTGATAGTTTGACTACAAAATAGCCATAGCCAATGTTAATCAAGTTTATGATTCCCCGCTTCGCCCATAATGTCTGGAGTCTAGTTTCCAGTGCTTTATAACCAATGCTGTGATCTAAGAGCTTCACAATCACCACCTTCTTCCATGCCCGGTATAGTCGCTTTTTCATCCTACCAGAGAAATGGAATGTAGGAAAATTTCTTTTTGGATCTTCCCTTATTCTCACCAAGGGTTCTTTCTTACTAGCTTCTGATTCCGATTGCAAATCTTCAGACATACTATCGTCAGATAAGGCATCCTCTTCTTCCTTTTCATCATCCGATTGGTCATCCTGATGGTTGACACCTTTCAAAGTTTCTGCAAATGTTAAACCGAACTTCCTGGGGTGGACAGGGGTTTCCCCAAGCTTTGGCCATTGATTCAGATTTGAGCAATCACCCTTCTCCATTCCATGTTTAATCTTCTTAGAGCTCCGCATGATTAGATCATTTTCCTCGGTAGACGGAGGAATAAGCGTCACGCTCTTCCCAGCAGGAACGAGAGCCATCGTTTGGTTTTCGTGCTCTCTTTTGCAAACACGGGAAACCGGATAATAAGTTATTTTTCCAATCACAATCCAAAGACAATAATATTTTATAATTGTGGTGTGTGGTTGGATGGCTTAAAAGACTGAAGAAGCCCACTTTCTGGGGGCCTCATACAATGGGGCCCCATCCCAATCATGTCCACATTATTGTGGTCACTGCCTTCGTGCTATACCCACCGTTTTCTCACTGTTGTTCTTCTTAATCCTAGTTTCTCTACACAACCTTGAGCACCGTCTTATATTGGCCTCCTCAATTTATAATTAAAAAGCTAATTTTCTGATTCGCTCTCATATCCTTTCCCACCACTATCCTCAACTTCCTTGCCTAGTTATCTCCGTTGTTAATATAAGATTTAGTTAAATAATTTAGAGAGATTAAGAAAATTAGTTAAATTAATTATTTGTAATAAATAGGTGTTGTTTTTCCTAAAATATCCTTACTAATTATGTGTATTAGCCTAAACTACCACTTGATAGAACTTTTTTTGTCTGTAACTAGTTGATGGAATAATATATACAACTATTAGAAGAATTACTTTGAAAAATGAATGAATAAGAAAGATAAAGTGGATTGATATATTATATTTTGAACCAAATTAAAAGTCAAATTTGCTTTTATATTAAGGACCATAAGTAGTATTAAATTTAGCATACAATTGACTCGGGAAAAAGTTTGGCATATTATTGATGATTTGAATAAAAAAGGGAATTTCTTATGGTAGTTGTCAATAGAAAATTATGAACTTTAGTATAAAAAAATCGACAACTAATCTTATAAAACTTACTAATGATAAATTGCTGATTTCTTATGCTAAAGTTATTAATTTCCTGCATTCAAATTTTTAATCTTCCATTCACAACTGTCCCACTAGAATTGATAACTTTAGTATAAGAAACTAAAGACTAATCTCATGCATCTTCCTCTCTAATATGACAACTCGAAAAAGTAATTAATGAGGGTAAAATGAAACACTAATCTAAAAAATTTGAGATATCTTGCAAATTTTTCATAAAAAGAGACAAAGTAAAAATGATAATTGTTTCTCATTAAAAGAGACCTAGAGTCTCATCCTAAATATAAAATATAATTTATAGTATAAATTACACTACAAATTAAATTTTGTGGGGAAAAATTTTCACTTAAAAGTTGTGAATATATGAAAATTTGTTAGGAACAATGTTGCCTTGAGAGTTAGCAAAATGTAATAGTATCACCCTAGCTGTTGCCTAACATTAAATGCTAATGACACGTGGCACTCCCATATGACACTCAATATACCACCTCATTGCCACATGATTCCTCTGCCTGTCCACCTCACCATCACACTTCATCACCTTCACCTTCTCTCTGCCTCCTTCACTTGTTCATCACCGACCAAACACTTAAACCCCCCGATCCCATTTATCCTCCCGTTCTCTTAATCCTTCTCTATTCACCCCTGTCAATCATCTCCCTCCATCATTGCCAAATTTGAAGGCTAGGAAGGCTTTTCTTTCTTTCCTTCCTTAATTTATCCTATCATTCTCTCAATCAAAAATCGAAACTTGATACCTTGTTAACAGCCATAGGATTCAAGAGCAATCCACGCAGCCCCATCAAATTTAAAACGCTAGATGGTCTATTTAAACCTTAGAAATACTAATAACTACTCGAATAGCTTAGAAATACTAATAACTACTAGAATAGCCAAATAAACTTAATGTTGTTAATCATCGACTGACCAACCCATGAAATGAAAACAAAAACAAGAACTTGGGGAACGCCTTGAAAACTTACCAGATGAAAACAAAACTCCTGATCTATTAGAAAATCAAGAGGCCGAATACTCATTGAATAAAAGCAATGCATGTGCTCGCCTGTGCTGCAAAAAATAGCAAATTTCTATTGATTTATTATTTGAGGGAACAAAAAATGCAAAGCAGGGATAGAAGATAGAGCCTCTTGATGGAAGATATGAAAACAAGGGGAGAAAAGGAACAAAGCAGGGGAGCCTCTCGGCGATGGGTATTAGGGTCTTCCTCCAATCGCTGCGAACGAACGAATTGAATCTGGCTATCATGTGGGAGCAGGTGGCAACCCTATGCACACAGGCTCCTTGGACAAGCAATCTGACGTGACAACTTTGTTGGTGTCATTTGCTAGTCGCCAATGAACATGCATCTCTTTCGTGTCTCAGTTGCTCGTTTTGGGGTCCCTCACTGGTCGGCGATGAACAAGGCAGTGAAAAAGGCAGAAAGGAAGGGGAAGACGAAATGTGAAGATGATGTGGAGAGGGAGAGGAACCATGTGGCGATGAGGTTGCATATTGAGTGCCATGTGGGAGTGTGCCACGTGTTATTAATGGTACTCCTCGGATCCTTAACATAAGACCTGTTTAATTAATTTGATTAGATTAAGAAAATTATGTAAGTTAGTTAATTATAAAAAATATGACATGTTTTTCCTAAAACGCCATAATCATCTTCCTTAATATTCTCTCTCCCTCTTCTATTTAATTATGATTAAAGGAGTATCCATATGGATAATTTAGAAAAAATTAATAAATATGAGAATTAGATCTTATAATTAAAATCAAAATCAACTCAATAATTGAATCCTATATTAAGAATCGAAGGAGTAATAATTAATGCTGCTTTACATTTTGTTAACTTTGAGGGTAACATTGCTCTTAAAAAAAAACTTTTCAATATCTACGGCCACTAAATAAAAACTTCTGGAATAAAAATAGACCTTAAGCCAATTTTATATTTAAAATAGGACATAATAATATTTTATAATTGTGGTGTGTAGTTGGATGTCTTTAAAAAAAAAAAAAAAGACAGGTTAAGCCTCTTGATGCTCCAAACTTGGTGGAGCCTGGAAAGCTTGAAACCCTATGTGCAAATGCAATTCAATATTAGTTTGTGTCATATAAATTTATTTTTCAGTTTTAAATTTTTATCATATATTATATCTTTTAATATATTGTACATATGATAAAATTATTTTTTTCTTATATCCACTTGTATAAGAAAGTTATCAATATTCTTATTATATTTTTTTAATTATTATTACTAATCAAGAGGAATTGATTTTGATGAAATATAAATAAGTTTTCTAAAAAATTGTCTTCTTATTTTCAGTATGTGCCTAAGGATGACATGAATGATAACGATACCTTTATTAAAACTAACTCCACAA